TTCATGTAAAATATTTTTTTGATATTTTTTGAACATTCAACTATTTTTAATGAACACACTCGTAAAATTTCAAGTGATTTGGATTTTTAGAAAAAAATATCAAAATTCAAACACTACCGGACATCCGTGATCGTTAGATTGGCCCAAATTCAATCTGGGCCGTTGGGCTCATATGTTCATATGAGCTAGTGGGCTAATCCCAGCTTTTTCCATACATATATATGTACATCTATACATATATACGTACATATATACATATACATAAACATATGTAGATATAGATATATACATACACATTCATGCATACAAACATACATATATAATGTAATTTATTAAATCTCAAAGCATACCAGTGATTGTCAAGTGTTAAGAGTATACCACTAAATGGAAAATCGGCTCTGACCTCAACCTCCACCACAAGCTTCATACAATTATTTTTACCACACCAGCATCCCCAGGTGTCAATAAATGTTGAAATGTTGACACATGTTGACATATGACACTAGCCATTAACTAGATTGTTGGGGTGATGCTGTTGTGGAGAACACCCTTTTACTCTCAATTGGCAGGTTTAAGCGCCCCTAGACCAGGACCGGCCCAGGTTTAAGTGCCCCTGTTCAGGCCTGACCCATTGGCAGAATCGGGCTGAGCAGATCAGGTTGGGCCTGGCCAAGCCATGAACCGGGGCTGGGACCAACCTTTAAGTACCTAGGCCAGAAACATCTGCCCCACGACCAGCCTGCAGGCCACATATAATGGCCTGGACCCGGTTTAGCAGCGCTGGGCCACCGGAACTATTGCCAGCCCCAGTTCCATGATTTAAGGGCAACCTCATGTTAAATATATTTGAGCTCTCTAATGTTTACTTGTACAATGCTTTTGGAAAAAGCTCGGCACGTTTACATGATCACCTCTAAAAGCCTGCAGGGTTGATTTAGTTAACCACATTGATGAACGTAATCAGAAAGACAAGACAAAATATAAACACAGAGTTCCCCTAAGGTTCTCACTATGTTATACAGGCCTTTCTCTCTTCTTCTATCTATATAATAGCATATCGTACAGGACTGTAACTTTGTTTACTCATGTATGATAGTGTTTCTTTGGAGTGTGCGTGTAGGTCTATGTTTCAGATTGATAATGCTTCCACATTTTAAAAATACATAAATTAACAGATCTCAACTCAACAGTAAAGCCAGAGGCATCGCATCACAATGCAAACACTGCAAAGAGGATAGGCATTCTAGCAAAAAGTGGACCAGCCGAGAGGTATGGGGTAAATGACTATTTATGGCGATAGGTGTTCAAGTCAATGAGGCTTGGCTATATTAAGGCAAAATGGAAGAGTGTCATTGGTGAATAAAAGTCTGGTTTTCGCTTCTTTGGTGACAAACTGTTATCTGCTAAAAGTTCAATTTGAAGTAGTTCTGCATTGATAGGCCAAATGAATCAATTGGACCACACATTTAATCTAACTCAAACAAGTGCTTCAACAAATACTGATAGAGGGTTAGCCAGAGCGAGAAAATCTAAGTGGAGCTTACAAAGAGAAAAGGAAAGGCATGTCCACAGGGTACAAATGAAATCCAACTTTTTCATGCATATGCTATTGCTAGACTGCATGAAAGTTAAACTGAAGTAAAGAAAGAAATAATGAGCAATGAAAATCTAGTTACCTGATGATATGAACAAGTCTCATCAAAAGGTACTTGTAGACGTTCTTGAAGCCTATGCAAACTTTGCTCCTGAAAGTAGAAGACATATGTCAATAGTGAAACAAACAGCAAAAGACATAAATATTTTCACTGGGACCAATACAACACTAGCCATTTCATTGATTGTAAGAACCCCAAGTATTCTACAAAATTAATTATGAATGAACATCATTATTGATCAGATAGTCAAAAAAAAAAGAAGGGAAAAAGTAAATCCAATTAAACCTGAAAGATTACTAATCAATTCTATATGAGAACAAATATGCACATGCTAACTTTTAATTCATAACTAGAAGATATAACAAACTTCCCATTGTCAGCCATTATTTAAGCAACAAATCCAAGGAGAACCATCAATGGAATGCATGAAGTTTTTCCACCTAACATAGGTGAGAAATCTCTGGCAACCATACACAGAATATGAAAGTTGTCAATCAGATAGCAAACAGGATAAAGTCTAACACAATTCTGAAATTCCAAAGAATCAAAGTGATACTTTTATTCCCTCTTGGAAGAACAAGAACACAGAGCAGTTCTGCTTTATCAACTAAAACCGGGCCAATAAAATTCATGCAACTCAAACAAGAAATCTTATAAAACATAATATGTTGGAGCAGCAATGATGGCCTGCATTAATCAATGCAACACATAATGCACCTGACGAGGGGTCAATGAATAGTCTGAAGTCTTTTCAACATGTCCCTGCCGTTTGTTGCTAGAGCGAAAAAACAATCCCCCAATCCATGATCGTGGTCCAACCATAGCATTAGCTGGAACCACCAAAAAAAAGTGTAAGCCAAGATGCAAATAAATCTGAAAAACATAAAAGGCATCAGATGGAAAACATGATCATCATTAATATGATTTATCAAACAAGATATTGTCTTAATAATGCTTTAGTACTAGCAGAACAAGGAAGAATGCGTGCATGAAAAGGCCAATGGAAGACAGGTCAAACAATCTCAAAAGTACAAGACAGCTTGTAAGAAACAATAGATAAGATGCAAACATATGCACAACCTAGTAATGGAAAGTAAGCATTGTAGTTACACAAGAGCAAGGAACATGCAAATAGGAAATTGCAGCCGAATATTCTAAAGTGTCATTATGTGAAATTGTCACTTCCCAGACCACTTATTTAAAATACAATTATTTCTATGTGGGTATGGTTACTTCAGAAGATCAATTAGCTTCTAGCACCCATCTTTAGCAGAGTTCAAAACAATTTGTATCACTACAGCTGCTAGGCTGGGTTGTTTCTATTTGAGTGCACAATTATCGTGTGTGTAACCCATATTGCTTGATGGAACTTGAAATCAGAAAGGGAACCAACCCTCCCTGCTATGACTGGTAGAACGAGCATGTACAAGGAGATGACAGAAAGACATGTGATGCTAACTATAGGGACTTAGGCACTTGCTAAGTTTCAGCACAATTTTCGTTAAGTCGTGTACGAACAGAGGAACAAAATCTTCTGGCTTATGAAAGTGAAGAATGGTGGAGTAAATCCACGGGCATTTTTTTAAGGGGAAATTGAGTCTTAAAAAGGGACATTTTTCTGACTGTCCATAGAGAACAACAGCAAAAAGTGAGGCACCAAATAGCTCATAAAAAATTATGAGTTGACCAAGCATTCAAACAGGACCAAAATTGAACGGAGTCCTATAAAAGCTCCATAAGTCCTATAAGAAAGTCTCTCCAGGATATCATGTTTCCTTCTCCTGCATATGACATGATTTCTACAGTTAGAAAAAAAAAGAAAAAAGGGGTCCAGCATCATAGAACTGCGATCAGAAAGAGGGATAACATCAAGGAAAGGAGCAATAATCAGTCCAATATTTGCATTTTAAGAATTGGATGGTGAATTGGGGGGGGTTCTTGGATGTAATTTTGGTCATGAAGCAAAAAGAATATCATAATAAATGAACTTGAGTTCAATCTTTAAGTGTACCATAATGCCTTGATTTATAATCTGCTAATGCGTATCAGTAGCATTTGGTAGAATCCATTTTATAACTATGCTTGTCCCTTACTTTTTTGTTTGCCATATGATTATGCTGGATTGTTCCTTGCATATACAAGTGCAATGTGCACCACTGAGATCTTATTTTTATTATGTAATTTGATATGCATGTACAAACTGGTATGCAACAAATTATAAAAATTACCACTCTAAAGGACTAAATTGTAAATTCAAATAATTATAATTTAGTCTGAATCAATACGCAAGTGTCTTATGCAAGAAACTTTCTATTTTATGTTTTTTTTTTATATTTTTAAAATAGAAACAAAAAAACACTCTCCAAGTCAGCTCAGTTTTGCTCAATTAAGTTCAACTTTTAAAACTTTAATACATGTTATTTTCAAGCCTTGAAACAAGTTTTCTAGTACATTTGGAGTAAACACAGGAAACCACATGAATCATGGTTACAATGTTCAACAATACAATCACTAACAAGTCCAATTCAAAGCACAAAAAAATTGTTAGATAACCCCAAACAAAACATCAAAATAAAAGAAGCAGAATAATCGAAGCAAAAAACTACAGGGTCTAAAAATGAAGGATAACTGACCAAAACATTGAGCACGTTGTGATATCACGTGCGTAAGATTAAATTCCCATGCCACTTCTTCATGTCGGGTCTTTTCCCTCCAAAAATGACCTTCATCCTCATCGACCTGCACATATAATGATGTTTATTCTAGAAACAAGAAATTTAAGAAATACATGTGAACTATGAAATCGAAGTGTTCATGCAAAAGAATTTGTTCAAGTTGAGAAGTAGCCCAGCTCTAGTGCTCCTAAAGATGCCTCCTTTATGAAGATGAGCAAAACATTTTGTTCAATCACGCCGAGCCCCTAGAAATGACATGGATCTGAAGCAAAATTTTCACTATCAGATATATTTGGAACATTGACCACGAAATTTCATGTAGTTTCGTGTCAAATTACATTGCTTACAAGACAATGTATCGCATTTAATTGATCAGAAAAATGTGATGCATTCACAATTTAGCATTTTAGATCAACAGAAACTCAACAGTTAGCACGATCATCTAAGAAAATTAGGACCCGATTGGCACGACACAAGCCATTGAAACTCCTAATGCCAATGCTCCAAGAGAGAGATGAAGTGGATGTCTAATTCAAAGGAATGCCAGCCCAATGTCTTACCCATTGTCGAGATGAGCAAGAAGGTATACATTGAGGACGTCGTATTCTCATCTCAGATATACCATGGCCCCTTCTCTCCTTTCATAGTAAAACATAAGAGAGAGAAAACAGAGAGGGGGGGAGGAGAGAGGGGGGGGTGTGAAAGGAACTGATAAGGTACTAGATATTGGGCCATTTAAATGATTAGAACACATGCCATTGTTCCCCAATCCAAACAAAAAAGAAGAAAATGAACAGTAAAGTGGGGACACAAACAATCTCCTATCCTCAATTGAAATCATTGCATGATCAGACATTTCAAAGCGTAAGACAAAGAACAAAAAGTCCATAGAAATGACTGCTTTTGGAGATGAAACAAGAAGCATGTCAATTACCAGGTAAAAAGCGACACCATCAAACCACCGGAAAACTTAATTTTCACGGCCGGATTAAGAGAATTCCGGCCGATACCTCAACATTTCCGGCGAGGTGAGGGGGCATTTGCTCCTGGGAATTGCCTGAGTGAGAAGAGAAGAGGAGGCCCACTGACTATTATTTTAATGGCAAAAAGGTCACTTTAATGGCAAAAAGAATGGAAAAAGAGAAATTGGGAAAAGAAAGGACCGAGATTTGGTGTGGGGCATGAAGTCCAGAAAGGGTGGGTGGAGAAAGAGAAGGAACAGAGAGGAGAGAGAGAGAGAGAGAGAGAGGAGAGAGAAAGAGGGGGGAAGGCGTCTGGGGTCAGAGGGAGCGCCATGAAAGCAGGCGAGTGGGTCGTGGAGATGATGGCGCTGCGTGCATCTATGCGCGTGGCCGCGCCTGCGATGCTGCCACTTGGCGCGGTGTCCTGGCGCCAATAGGGACCCAGCGGACCGAGTTGTCGATGAGGGACACGAAGGTGCGTTTTCCTGCGTCGCACCTAGACCCCATTTTCGTGCGGGAAAGCTGAGCAACACGAGCTCGCACAGGTCAATCAAGTATCACTCTTACCCTTGTTCTTTCAAAGGATTAGTAGAAGTGTTTATCGGGTCGGCTCGGCCCATGGATCCTATGGGCTGATCAGACCACAGTTTAGGTTCGGATTTAATTTTTGGACTATGGGATGGGTCTAACTCTAACATATTTTTTGAGAAAAATTTCGTATAGAACCCTAATTCCTCTTATTATTTCATGGTAAACCCTCATTTCGTTTTTTTTTTAAGCGGCGCAAAAAAACCTTTAAAGATTTTACCATTACCCCTCATAAAAGAAGAAGATAATAGATGAAAGGGTGCGGTGAAATCTTTAGGAGTTTTCGTATGCCATTTGAAAGAAAAACATAAAGAGGGTCTACTATGAAATAATACGATAAATTAAGGTTCTATATGAAATTTTGCCTATTTTCTATATGTAATACAATGCAACCACCCAATTTTGCATCCAATGGTCAAAATTAGTTGTGACCACCTTGTATTAAAACTAAATGGTCTCATTCTATATTTTTTCTAATTTTATGGGATTGTATGCAATGAGACCATTTACCTTTAATACAAAGCGGTCACAAGTCCTTACAACCATTTGATGTAAAATTTGATAGCTTGGATGTGTCACAAAGTTCGAAAAAATTTCTTTTGAAGTTTGAGCTTCGTCAATGGAATTATTTTAGCCATCCAACTTTACATTCAATAGTCAAGATTATTATGACAATCTTGTACAAAATGTAAATGGTCTCATTCTATACTTTCCCTAATTTTATTTATATAATAGGATAATTTTTATGAGTTCTTTGACCCATAGGTAGATATGTGTTCTCTCTCAATGACTTATTTCTGAGATGGAATTTGGACTTAAACTTTTTAATACGTAAAGTAAATCGATTCTAAATGCTAAAAAGGTATTTTTGATAAAATTTTAGACTGGTTTCTATCTTTTTTAAGATGGATGTGTAATGCCTCATCATCATTATCATCAATGTTTTTTTCAACTATTTGGGGTCGGCTACACGAATCTTGGTCCGTCATTCTGCTATATCAAGGGTCAAACCTTCAGTGAGGCCGAGACCAAGTCCCTATATTTTTTCTCACTCCTTTCAAGTATGTCTTTTTGGGCTTACCTTTTGCCCTTTTCTATCCTTCTACTTAAACAATCTTCTACTTTTCTAACATGTGATGTATTGGATCTTTAATGTATACAGCCAACCTACCTAAGTCTACTTTCATTCATCTTATCACCTATTGGAGTCATACCTATGTTCTCTCGATTGTATTCATTTCAAATTTTATCCTTTCTTGTCTTGTTACTCATCTATCTCAACATCCTTATCTCAGACAACGGTGATTCCGTGTCTAGGTCTAGCATGAACCAAATATGACTGCACCTGTTTACACCCCTAGAAAAGAACCATGATAAAAATCGCATCGCCAGGCCAAAACCCAGAATTTCCCTAGTCTTTTAGTTTCCTATGAATGTTTTTTTTCTTATTAAAATTGCCCAATTTGATTATGACTCTATCGGATACCGGAGTTAGAAAATTATTCCATTATTTAAAGGGTACAGTTTATATAAGGCGCTTGCCTTAAATAATCAAAGTAACTCGCACCTACCAAAAGATGAAGTTTCGGTGCTAGAAAGTCTTATGATGGCCGCAAAATTTGTTTCTACCCTAGTTATAATATTCAATGCTTCAAAATTGGTTCAAACCAAGCAGATCTATAAACATTTGAAAATCTTGAAAACAGATGGTCCAAATAATGTGTTGCAAAATGTATTATTTTGAATATTTGATTTTTTTCTTCATTTCCATACATCCCAAAGTTGAGATGATTAATTAGAGTTTCTAGCACACTGAGATCAACCTTTTCTGATGGGCTTGAGGTGCACCTCACTTCTATAGCATTGACATTTTATGTAAACTTTTTCCATATTGAAAACACTAGTATGAAGGATCTTATTATTAACAAAATTCATGATTGAAACCATTGATTGGATGGTGATCAATTGATCGGAGAGTGATGACGCTGACGATTATAGTATCATGTCACTAGGATGTGATAAACACAAGATGACAAGATCCTGGAATTTTCTTTGATATTTGTCATATAAGCAGTGGCCCTGTTCAATCACTATAAATCTACTAGACCTTATATCATTATGATATTTCATATACCATTGTTGGATGATTTCTTTTGTCCATTAAAGGAGTGAGGAAGTTCATGAATTTTGTCAACAGATCTTAAAGTCCTTCAATTGTTCCATGCATTTTTCTAATTCCAAAAACCCATTAGAAAAAGTTAGTTTTACATCTAGTAGTAAAAGTTTCAAATCTTGTTTCATAACTACAATATGAGGCAAATTGAGTCTCACACCACTATGTAGAGGCCTTTCTCCACTAATCAAGCTTTGTAGTTTATAATTCCATTAACCTTTTTATTTTCAAGGCCTAGTTGATCCCCATGTTTCTGCCCAAGTGAAGATCAACAAGTTCGTTGACTTAGGAACTAATAAATCTATTTACTTGAAGCAAGGGATTTAATCCATTGTGATATGAACTAGACTCATCATCATAAGGGTCATTAATGGATCGGAAAATTCAGACCCAAGATTGGCCCAAAACAAGTAGGGTAAACCCGAGCTCAAAAATATAGTCTGGGGCCAGCCCATCTAGGCTCATGACGAATTCATGATAAACAAAGCCAGAGCCTAGCTTGGGCTTAGGAAAATCAAGTTGGGCCTTACATAAATATGAAAAAGAGTTCATCTAATATATGCAATATTATCACATCATCCATACCTTATCCCAGTTATTTGGAGTTGGATATATAAATCATGTTCCTCCATTTTTCTCCATCAAGAGTCATACCCTTAGTAAAAACAAAAGTCACCATATTTTTTCTCACTATATTTCTTACTGCATTAAATGGTGCAGCATGTCGCTTAAGGGGAACACCTTAGCATGAGCATATAACAAAGGTTCAGAATTTATGATACGGTGTGACAACATTTTATGGTGCCTGCCTACTTAATGTAACCCACCTCTTTTACCTGAGCTTGGGATGGATTAAGAGGAAGTTTAAGATCTTGGCCCTATTAAAACAATCCAATATATACTTACAAAAAAATATCAGTCCGGGTTTGACCAAGTGGTCACCATGATCACTTCACCCACCTTGCATGGAAGGAAAGTATAAGTGCCCGGCACCCTTGAGAGGAATCATTATTACTCATCTAATAGTGTAGAGAAGTTGAGTGTCTGGTGCAAACAATGGTGCAAAGGAAATCAATGATTTGGAATATATCATGACAGTAGATGGTGAAACTTATGCTTGGTACCTTTTCTTGATGAAATTCAAACTCTTAATATTAGTGGGTTTATATAGGGAAAGATTATATTTTCTAGTCTGACCACCTAGTTGGGTGATTTGACCCTAAAAAGCATAGTTGGGGGATAATTTTTTTTCTTTTTAAGATAAAAATTTTCACATAATTGAATCACAAAATCTTTGAAGCTCTTAAAAGCATAGTAATTCACTTTCAGCAAGCATTTTTGTTGTGATTTTCGTACACCATACTTGGGGATTATAAGCATTTACAAAGCCAATTTTTTTTTAAAAAAAAAAAACAAAAAATCAAACTGTGACATCTCTAAAAATTCATTTAAATTTTCGGATGGGGTTTCATCTCCAAAATCCATTTTATAGAGGGGGTTTTGATATGAAATTTAATAGTCTATTATCCACCACCAAAATTATTAAGTTGAAAAGAAATATAAATTTTAGGCAAAAATGGATGATTTCAAATCTATTGTAGATTATTTTTGGACCGTAAATTTTAATTGTTTTAAAATGACTTTTAAATATTTAAATTCTATTTTTAATTTTATTTTCATGTTGATGGTAATTGAGATTATTGACCTGTAAGCTTTTAGCAAAAAAAACCTTTTAGTTCCAAAATATCAAGGGTGTGGTTTCTGTAACACTGAGGCTCAAAATGTGAAGTAAGGCACAATACTAAAACATATTGTTGCGATGCCAAAAATCTTTAACGATGACTTAAAAGTTTGTTTTCATCTCTAACTATAAAAATTAAAGAGTAAAAAATATTGGAGATCGAGTAAATCTATGAACACTTGAAAATTTTAAAAATTGACGGTCTAGATAATATACTACAAAATGCACTATTTCTAAGACTAGAAATCTATTTCCTCATGGCCATACGTCTTGAGGTTGAGATGATCGAATTGAGAGTTTTTCAACATTGAAACAATTTCTTTTAGTGAATATTTGATGTGCACCTTAATTTGAGTGTTTAGTGCCTCACCCTTATTATAAACTTTTTCCTAATCTTAAAGCACGAAACATTTTCCCAAGCCCTCTCTATCTGAAAGAGTAATTTCTTCTATATCTCCAAGAAGAAGGAAATACTTCTTTTTGTTAAAAAGTTATATATATATATATGGAACAGATCCTGTCAGCATACGGGCTAATAGCTACAGTGTCAGCCAATGACCCAGATTGAATTTGGGCCGATCTGATGGTCACGACCTCATTTTGTGTTTGAATTTTTTTTTTTTTTCTATAAATCCAAATCACTTGAAATTTGGAGCGTCTATTCTTCAAAAATAGAAGAATCTAATAAAAATATAAAAAATAATTCGTAAAATATAAATTGACCAAAATACTCTAATAATTAAGGGTTAGTTTAGGTTACGTAAGTTATAATTTACGTAATTAATTA